TTACTGCCACTAGGACCAGCTTCAGAGTCACTGGACTTCTGTCGCACAACATATCTGTCCATAGTGGCCTGTACCTCTCGTTCCTTTATGACTTTCCTAAAGTGTTTCACAACAGTGTCAGTGTAATAGTCACCAGCACGGCTTGCAATAGCTGTGTTAGGGTGATTGTCATCAAAAAGGTTTGACTTTAAGCCACATTCCACACATTTCCTTAATCTTTGAAGCAGGCAACTTCTTCAATTTCTCTCTCCCCTCCTCTGAACAAGTTTCCTCAGGTCTGGCCTCTTGCTGTTGAAGTTGATCTAGCAGCTCATCAGTGGTTAGTTCTTCATTGTCCTCCTCCACTAACTCTTCCATCCTTCCACTACCTCCAACCCCAAGGACTTTCCCAATGCCACAATGGATTCCTCAACGGCATAGGATTCCCAGGGTTAGCCTCATACCCTTCAAAATCCCTTTGGTCTACACATTCTGGCCACAGTTTCTTCCAAGCAGAGTTCAAGGTCCTCTTAGTCACTCCCTCCCAAGCCTTACCTATAAGGTTTACACAATTGAGGATATTAAAGTGATCTCTCCAAAACTCTCTAAGTCAATTGAGTTTTCTGAGGTCACACAAAGCACCTTTCAAACAGAGCTTTTGTTTTACAGTTTTTTGAATTTTGCAATAACCTGCTGGTCCAGGGGCCCTGCAGGAGAGGAGTGGTATTAGGAGGCAAAAACTTACCTTAATGAAGCTCATGTCCCCATAAAGTCGCTCTGCCACATCGTAGGATGACCAGGGGCATTGTCTAACACCAGGAGGCACGTAAGGTCTAATTTCTTTTCAGTTAGGTAATCTTTCACATTGGGGCAAATGCTTGGTTTGTAACCAGTCATAGAAAAAGTCCCTAGTGACCCATACCTTACTGTTTGCCCTCCACAGCACAAAACAAATTAGCCTTGGGGAAATATGCTTTGGCCTGAATGCTCTGGGAGTTTCTGAGTGATACACTAATAAAGGCTTCATTTTTGCAATCACCACTAGCATTGGAACACATCAACAGAGTAAGCCTGTCTTTCATAGGCTTATGTCCTGGAGTGCCTTTTCCCCCCTGAGTAATGTAGGTCCTGTTTGGCATTTTTCTTCCAAAACAGGCCTGTTTCATCACAATTAAACACTTGTTCAGGGTTTAAAAGGGCCTTCACTGTCCCATGTACTCCTTTAATTCCTGCACATATTTTTCAGCTGCTTTTTTGGTCCGAACTGGGAGCCTCACCATGCCTTATCACACTATGTATGCCACTACGCTTCTTAAATCTCTCAAACCAACCTTTGCTGGGCCCTTTAAAATTTACTCACATCATCACTAGTTGCAGGAATTTTTTAATTAAATCCTCATGCAACTTCCTGCCTTTTCACTTATGATCACTTGAGAGATGCTATCTCCTGCTATCTGATTTTCATTTATCCATACCAATAAGAGTCTCTCAACATCTTCCATCACTTGCGGTCTCTGTTTCGAAAACACAGTTGAACCGTTGGCAAGAACAGCTTCCTTGATTGCCGTTTTGTTGGACACAATAGTAGCGATGGTTCATTGGGGTTTACTATACAACCTGGCCAGCTCGGAGACACGCACTCCACTTTCATACTTAGCAATGATCTCTTTCTTCATCTCTATAGTAATTCTCACCCTTATTCCTGTAGGGTTGGCACTAGAAGCTTTCTTGGGGCCCATGGTCACTTGTTTTGCAGATAAATTCACCAAAAACGCTGTAATAATACGAAATGTTCCGATTGTATGCTTGGATGTTACCGCGGAGGCTGGCTGGTAAACAATGCCACCGGCGGAACATGTGAGGCTGGCTCAGGCCGCACATTAGACGCGTCTTGGACGAATAGCATTGAGCGGTTTTTTTAGCGGTATGCGAGGCAAAATCTTAGCGATAAAATGTATCGGTATGCGGATTTAACGTTATGTGATGCCAACGGTATGCGGGGGTCCACTGTATTACAGAACAATCGTAATAAACAATTTTTTACATTGTTTGTTTGTGTAAACAAACAAACAATTAACAATTATAATGATATGAGTGTTTTTGCTATAATTGTGTTACATTCAACGAGTGTATATTTGAACATTGCACAATAATTTGGTCTCACAGGCCACAAAAGTTATGTGAAAAAATAAAATAGTGAAAAAAACAAGAAACCATCAAATACAAGTAAATCAAAGTTTACCAGGTGAGCGGCAGTTGCCGCTGTTGCCGTTGACAGATCATTTTCAGCAAACTTCACGGCTCTATATCTCGGTAAGTACTGATGGGAAAATTTTTGTTTTTTTGGACTAAAACAATCAGAAAAATAATCTTAACATTTTCATAAGAAATTTTTTTTTTTTTTCGAATATTTTACGACACCAGGAGACACTTCAGGATTGGGCCTTTCGACAGTCAAAGGGTTAAGCCCTGTCTATATTGCTTTTCATATTGGTGTTTCTTATCAATGGATTTCAGAATGCTGCTGGTTAACCATGGGCAACCGAGCCGTTTATTCGTGATCTGTTTCGTTTTTATAGGACAATGTTTGTTGTATAGTCTAAGTAATTTGTTGAGAAAAATGTCTGTCCAGTCGTCAGTACCATTGGCCTTGGAGAATTCTGTAGGCCAGTCAACAGTCTCTAGGTCTGCTGTGAACTTCCTTATTTAGGCCTCGTCATGGAGTCTAAATGAAACTTTGTTGTATTCCAGTGGTGGTTTACTAATGTTTGTTAAGAGGAAGGTAGGGTAGTGGTCTGTAGTGCTGTCTGTGATTATCCCTGATTTAACCCTTTGGGGGTTCGCCAGGCCCTCTCAGAGACTTGTTCTCAGGGTCCCCAAAATTTCAAAAAAAAAAAAAAAATTTTTTCTTATGAAAAGATAGAGAATCTTTTCCCAATCATAATGACACCAAAAGTATGAAATTTGATGGAAAACTTACGGAATTATGCTCTCGTGAAGTTAGCGGTCTCGACGATGTTTACACATTGGCGATTTTGCCCACTTTGAACCATATTTTCGGCCAATTCTAGTGTACTAGTCGACAAAACTCATAACTATTTTGCTAGAACTTCATTTTTTCTATCGAATGAGTACAAGAAACCACCCATTTACCGATTTCAACTATCCAATAAAGTGGTTAGAATTTAGCAATTTTGCCAATTTCACACAAATATCAAAAGATGCCAATTTCCGAATAAGGTCCAGAATAAACAAGAAAGACATTCCTGGCACTAAAATAACAAGTTCTCTGTTTGTTAGTCACATCCCCAGGCCCCTCTTATATTTCTTTGGCTTTTCTCTTTGAATTTTTCTTACAAAAAATAGATTTACTGTTATGCAGACTACTCCATTAGTGTAGAAATGGTATAAATAATATCAGCACACTTCTGAAAGAGTATTAAACTCACCAGTTGACATGTATTGGATGCTTGGCATGATCTGTTTACTTTTGAACTTTGGTAAAAATTGAACATTTCTGCTACTTTGAGCTCAATTTCAAGGTACTTTTCATTGTAAAACCAGTCAATATCATCTCAATTTCTGTAATATGTCTTCCATTCTATAAAATGAGACCAAGAAAACTAGATTACAACAATAAATATCATACGAAAATACAGTGCAAAGTCGCTGTTTTAATCCAAAAACACTGTCAAAGTTTTTTTCTCATTACGCACTGTGTGCTGCAGGATTTTTTTTATACTGTGCACACTGACCACATAGACCCATTCTTTCATATGTAGGCCTACCAGCTTTCTCTCACTAGATTTGAGGGCGCTAGAATTTAGGCGTACTAGTACGTCAAAAACCCTGGTGTGTAAGCCGTACTAGTACGGCCGAAACCCCCAAAGGGTTAAGGGGGGCTAGTATATTGGTCCATATGTGGTCTATTATGGCTGCACTTGTCTCAGTGAGCCTGGTTGGTTTAGTTATTGTTGGTATGAGAAGTGTGTTGTTCATATTGTTGATGAAATCAGTTACAGGCTGATCATCTAGTAGGCCAAGGTTGATATTGAAGTCTCCAGCTAAGAGAAGGTGGTGCTTGTTCATTTGTCTGTTTGATATTAGTGCCTTTAATTTCTCAATGAAATTTGGGATGTTTGTGTCGGGTATCCAGTAAATGGCACCGATTGTTATAGGTGTCTTAAGGTTTTTTACAGTAAAATTAGCAAAAATGTATTCCCCATATTCATCACTAAAGCAAGTGGTGCTAATACAGGATAGTTGGTTAGAGTAATAGATTGCAATACCACCCCCAATTTGGTATGGTCTGCAGTTGTGGATTGCTGTGTATCCTGGTAGAGGGTAGAAAGGGATTATTGGTTGAAAGTTGGGTGTTATGGTATCTGAGGATAAGGAATACACAAGTGGAAAAGGGGATTAGGTGGAGTGGCTCTGGATGGAAAAGGGAAGTTATTCATCTCTACATATTACCTTCTCCCTGCAGCTCTGTCTCATCGTGGTGGACTGCATAGGTGTCATTCTTATTGTTTGTATTGTCACCATTTTTACCCTGAATTCCTTTCTTTTGCCTCCATTTTCTGCTTTTCTTAAATTCATCTATTTTGTCTTTCTGCAGAAATTCCATACTGCATTTCTCTGATTTATGAATGTTTTTTCTTTGTTCTGTAGCACTTGTTTCCTGTTAGCACCTTATCAGTGGGAGCACTTAACATGCAAAACTCCATTTTCTTAAAATTTAGTGTTTCATTTGCCTCTTGGCTCACTCCTGCATTTATAGCCAAGGTGTCCTAACACATCATAATTGTCATTTAGTACTCCTGCATCTATCAGTATATCCCCTGTGTATTTTATGTGTAATTATTTTTATTCTTGCTAATTAAGATAGAATCAATCCCCTTTCTTAATGTATTTTGTATAATTTTGTACTCATTGCAGAATTGGCACTCTTGGCAGTTCATTGCTTAATGGGTTCAGTTTATATTATCAGAAGTGTAATGAATGTGTTTCTTAATCAACAGTAGGCTTGATGAAAGTGAGCTGAGTATGATGGTGGTAGAGGGTACAATAGACCAGCTTGTGGACCAAGAAACAGAGGAAAGTTTTCGAAGAGACCACCGTACCACATCCTCCACGTCTTCTGGACCCTAACCTCTGCCTACATCTTCATGGGTTATTGACTCTCTTACAAACATTGCCAATACAGACTCAACCATGACTGCTGGTAACCACCTGAAGCTACCAACCACCTGCGTTGTAATACCTGTAGCTACTAAATCTATTCAGGGTTGCACCCCTCTACTGCCACTACTATCATGTAGATTATGGGGAGTGTGACTTTAATGCTGTGGTGGCAACAGTTGAGTTATTTCCAGGTAATGGTGGTGTGTTCTAAATGCTCCTTCCATTGAAGTTTTTTGCAAGTATTCCGTATTCTAAACAGGTAATTTTATTATCTACTAAATAAATATACTTGTATGTAAAACGGTGCTTATTTTCTCATGCAATAACTTAACTACAAAATTCTAGGTCACTTAATAGCATGTTTACAATGAGGTATAATCCATCTTAGATTGCCCATAAAAATCCAAGATATACTGCCAGTAATTCCAGTGTTTCATAACACAGCTATATTCAGGGGAGACACTCAACTAAATTTATATATTTAAATACTGTCTGCCTTTATACAATTGTAAAATTTTTACTATCTTAACCAAACCATAATGCATCCAAAGCCCTCCGGACACTTTAGTTACTTTTTGTGCTTATCTTCACCCTTGCTTAATTAATTTTACTTTAGATTAGTTTAGCCTTAATATTCACAAGTGCATTGTTATGTGCCCCTGTTTATTAATTTATAATTTTCTTCACTCCTCATATCATTGCAGAAGTCTTTCACTCTGGTTATTACAGGTAAATACTACACAAATAACCCGCACATAAAAGAGAGAAGCTTACTACGACGTTTCGGTCCGACTTGGACCATTTACAAAGTCACACTAACCAGAAGTGGAGCAGGACGGCTATATATAGGCAGGAAGAGGTGGTGGTAGTAGTAGTAGTAGTACAAGAATGGTATATAATACCCACAAGATGAAATTAAGACACATGCGCAACACCCGGGCATCCCCATCGTAGATGTTTCGCCATCCAGCCAGCCACTGGATGGCGAAACGCCCACAACAAAGACAACCAGACGCCGCACATGTGTCTTAATTTCATCTTGTCGGTATTATATATCATTCTTGTACTACTACTACTACTACCACCACCTCTTCCTGCCTATATATAGCCGTCCTGCTCCACTTCTGGTTAGTGTGACTTTGTAAATGGTCCAAGTCGGACCGAAACGTCGTCGTAAGCTTCTCTCTTTATGTGCGGGTTATTTGTGTATCGTTACAGTCACAGTATTGTGCCTTTTTTTGTTATTTACAGGTAAATACTCTTAGTAATTTACATCATGATGTACTATTTTCATTTTTTTTATTGCTCTCCATATTCCAGAACATCCTTGCAAAAGGTTAACTAAATTAAAATATATATCACTAAAAGTACATGTAAGCAAATGGTGGCTGGTATATCCCATTCAAAAGTTAGTCACACAGGAGTACATGCCATATTCAGTACAAGATGTCTTTATCTGTTTATAAATGCATTTTTTTTATTTGCTCCTCTTATTGCTTAGTCTTCAGTTGACTGTGGGGGCAGGATGTTGTTTTTGGTTCCTGCTCTGCATATCTATCTCTTTTTGGTTTTCTCTGTCTGTGTTAGCAAAATAAAAAAAAAAACTGATGGTTAGGTTTGAATGAAATTTTGTGGGAACAATGGGCTAATGGCAAGGAGTATTTAACTACATTTTGGAGGATATAAATTATTTGAAACTGTAAAGTGTTGCCATGAAAGCCAAAATCAGCAGTGTGTGGCAGATTTTGCATGTACAGTATCCACAAAAGCAAAAATTTAAGATTTTACTGTTTTTCTTTAACCTTACAATGTTATTATCTCTTTGTATTAAATAAAATCTCACTCCTCATCCGTGTTTCAGCTTGCATCGGGTTTCTTCACACTGTATCTATCTACTGTATATCTTTGATGCCATGTTTCCTTTGGGAACTTCTTTTTCTTAGGTGGTGGCCTCACACTGAATATATTCCAGACATTGCACCTAGCATTAAGCATTACAAAAGTATGAAGCACCACTTGAAGCTTTTGTTAAAAATTTACACATACTGCTTTCCTATCCAACATATAAACAGTATAACCCCCAAAATTTTAAAACTTGTTCAAGATTTGTTCTTTTCACATGGTGTTTTATAAGTGGATATGTCTCATTTCAGATCAAGTAAATATCAGCTTTAAATACAGTAGGGCCCCCAACTTACAAGATTTTGAGTTACGAAGTTTTTCACAGATGACGTTGGTATTTTGGAACCAACTAATTACTTACAAACAAGGACTCACTCTTCCGATGTCAGGACAACTATGTTATTTTTCTTAAGGATGAATTATATATTTTTCTTGGTTAGTTTTTACCAGACTATGTTCATTTTATGCATATATAGAGTACTCACATTTGTTTGGTAAAAACTGGTTAAGAACTAAAGATTCAGTATTTACTTTGTGTCAATATGTCAGTAGTTTGCTTGTGAAGAAAGACTGGTGGAGGTTGGTAAGGCAGGAAGGTGGGTGGGTTGGCTAGTTGCCAGGATGGTGGCCCCTCTGGCTCTGCACTGCTAGCTGTATTGGTTGTGAACATGTTCAGTAAACAGTTGGACTAAGATACAACAATGCAGTGGCAACACTCTCTCACACTACACACCTATCATCATCACATCACATACCCACACCACCTACCTACTACCCCTAACACCCATACCACCTGCCTACCCCATAACACCCATACCACCTGCCTACCCCTAACACCCATACCACCTGCCTGCCCCTAACACCCACACCATCTACACACCCCCAACACTTATACCATCTACCCACCCATAACATCTACATCACCAACCCCTAACACCCACCCACCCATAACACCTACACTACCCACACATCCCTAACACCTACCCAACTATGACAGCTACACCACCTACCCACCCATAACACCAGCACTACCTACATAACCCTAACACCTACACCACCTACCCACCCATAACACCAACACTACCTACACAACCCTAACACCTACACTACCTACCCACCCATAACACCTACACTACCCACCCTTAACACCTACACCACTTATGACAGCTATACCACCTACCCACCCATAACACCTACCCACCCATGCCACCTACCCACCCATACCACCTACACCACCCACCCACCCCTAACACACCACATGCCCCTTACATTCAACCACTCTCTCACAAACCTTCTCTTACCCTCTGTTTAGTAGTGAAAAGAAACAGTACTGAATGTAAACTATTGGATAAAATTTCTTTGGAAAAAAGTAGCTGAAATTAGATAGAGAATATAACATCTCAGAAATGCATTAATTCCTTTTACATTATTTATTGTATGAAAATAATTTCTGAGTACTGAGCATCTGACTATGAATTTTCTGGAATGCATTAACATCATAAGTTGGGGTCCTACTGTACTATCCCTAGTTTGGCCTTAGCTTTGAGAGCTCATTACTCTCACCCAATCACTAAATTTCATCGCCACAGCAAATAATGTATACTTCACATTCATTCATGTCTCACTCTCATCATCAGTTTAATTGTTGTACATAATAACCTCACTCAAGAACATTCCTCTTTAGTCGTAAAAATTATTTTCTATTAATGGTAAATATTGCTTTTAAAATATTTCCAGCTTAGTTTATTTGATGCTTAAGATAACAAGCATCAAATAAATTAGATATAAGATATTGCATTAAAATGCAACATATCAAATAAAGTATTAAATCACTTTTTTTTTTCTTTTTTTAAAGGCTTAAATTTGAAGACTGGACTTTGAGTAATGTTTTAATATACATTGTTGTAGTGTATGTTTTGCATTGATATTGCTATCTTGAGTGTCTCTCCTTATTAGAGCATAAATACCCAAATACTGAAAGTGACAGTAGCTTTCGTACCATTTTCTCAAACCTATGCTTTATCATACTCAGTCCATGGATGATGTGATTGTTAGGATACCAAAGTCTGTACAAGAAAACTTTCAGCAAAGCAGTTATTCCTCTTTACTCACAAGAATTTTTTTTTGGTGTGTAATATTTTTTTTTTACCTTTAATCGTGGAAAGCACTTCAGTATCAATATGGATAAATCTTCATTACCGAAGTGCTGTCTAGAGCAAGACATAGAGTATCATACACAATGCCATAAACAGGTTTGACGCTTTACTGGGGTTGTACTTAATGGCCACCGCTCTCTTATAGGAATATACCTTTTTCACAAAGCTAAATTTTAATACATTTACTTGAGTCATCCAAGGCTGTTGGCCATACTCATCTTGACATAATTTTAATAGGTCATTTTTTTCTGTGCTGTATTATAATCAAAAGATTGTTGATGAAGTATTTGTAGTTTTGTCCGTTCTCCATTGTTCTTGGAGGAGAAAAAGTACAATGAAATGTGTTTGTGTTTTATGTAACATACTGCAGTTTTTACAGAACATTTTGTGTGTTCATTTGTTGCTGCATTTCTTATTTCAATAGTGAAAGTTCTTTAATTATTTTCTTATGTATTTTTCATAAGGAATCTTTGCATGCTGGGCTGGAAGCCAAATATCATCTACAAGGAAGAAAAGTTAGCTTGTAAGCAGTTGTATTTTTATGCAAGTTGGCAGTGAGAGGCAGCTCCTTTATGCCAAGCAGCTGAGGAGCAGCCATATTGGCATATAATTATTCTACTTATGCAGATCTACCAAAGGTTATAGTTCCCCTGGAATGCAATAATGTTGCAATTGTTATTTGCACATTTTAATCTCATTAACAAAGACTCTATCTTGCTAAAACACTGCACTGTCAACAGGAGGCTTTTTGTGTAGAACCCTTGCTGCTTCCTGGTCTGAGCTGGCCATCCTATGCATTAAAGACCAACAGTCAAATGATAATAATACTTAATTATTACAATGGCTCTTTCTGTTTCTTGAAAGCCACTTACATGTTGTTACCAGAAAGTATGTGGGGGTGTTTTTAGCTTTCTACTTCTCTTAATAGGATTACTCCCAAGCTTTGGTGGCAACTTAATTCCACATTATCATGTTTATGAATTTCTTCACTGTTTCCATGTATTTGGATGTGAGAGTTCTTAGTGTCTTATCATTGTGTTGACATTAAGTGTAAACTTACAGTCATTCAAATATTTATTAATAATAGATCTCATGCAAGTCCCAGCCAGAAGCAAATAATGTTATAGGACTTATTGTGCAGTTGAGCCTGAGCAAGTGTTTGGTAGAATTTTTATAAATAGGAAACCCAGTGAAACTTTTTATATGATAATTTTAGAAAGCATAGGTTTGATATGTATACAAAGTGATCCGATGTTTCTGTATAGCTGTGGTATTGGCTGTTTGTTTTCCTTGTGATTGAGGCATCTAGCCTTATGTTAATTTTTATTCCCAAAGGTTTATATAATTAATAATTCAGATGCTCTGGGCTGCAGCAGTGTGTATCACAAAGAAGACAGGCATTTGGCTGATTATGCTTAAATGTATATTTTTTTTATGTGTTCAATTTTGAGCAGTTGTAATTTATGGGTACTGCCGCCTTGGAGATGGCATCACGTGTGTTATATTATTATTAAGTATATTTAATTTAGATGTTCAAGTTTTCCATTTGCCTTGAGAAGGGAAAGGAATAATTTTGTTATATCATACCAGGGCTGTTAATTAGGAGCCAAATATATATTAGTTGTTAAAATGAAAATAATAGCACAAGAAAATTATATTGTAAACATGATGAGTACAAATTCATTAGATGTACATATTTTACAGAAGTACTATATAGATACATGTATTGAGATATTCTATCAGTTGTGACTTTCACCATGACCAATATTCACTGTGATGAGGGAATTTGTAAGTGTATTTAAGGCAGTTTTCACCATGATTGGGAACTTGAAGCACAATATTCCTCACAGAGATTAATAGTTAAATATTTGATATAAACAGTGTTATCTGTAATTAAAACATCACATACATAAGTTATGCTTCTACTTTGTAAGTTTGTCACATTTTGTACACATTGTACATGACTAATGGATGATGTCACCATAATTCAGTATTAACATAAACAGATATACTGCATCTGATTACATGAATAGCATTATATTTTGTTATAGAACAGCATGTGTTGAACTGTGTAACTACCTATTTGTAATTACTTGTTTGTGATTACATGAGTAGAGCTACACATGTACATGTGGGAGGGAGTGTGCATTTGTGTAGCGTGTGCATGCATGTGGGTGTGTATGTGTATGTTTGATTACCTATTTTAGTACAAGAGTAGAGCTATGATTGTAGTTTTTTTTTATAGATATTTTTAAAATTTCCAGTGGTTGTGGCACATACTACCTCCTTTTGGAGCCCATTCCAGCTATCTGCCATGCTTTTTTGAATTTGTGGCCTCTTATCCTCTCTATTGCTTTTTCCATTAAATTTTCATTACCTTATCTGTTTTCTCATATCCTTTTGTGGACATAAATGGTTATTGCATCTCTTTTCTTCTTGTCTTATGAGGGTATTTTTCAGTGCCTTCAGTTTTCGTAATTCATTTTTATTAACTCAGGAATCCATTTTGTTACAGGTCCTTAGACTTTTTCTATTTTTATACAGGCGAGCATCATTATTCCAAACTTGTCTTAACCAGGAGCTTTTTGGAACGACCAAAATTCCTGTATGAATGAATATTGTGAGTTTATACCAAACAGCAGTATTTGAAAAATTTAAGTGTAAATAGCACTCAGTAAGAAATATGTCCTCATTCAAATATACAGTATTTAGCTACTTACAGGTGTT